CATCTCACTCCCTGATTTCAAAGCCTACTACACTCCTGTGGTGGTCAAAACAGCATGGTACTGGTACAATGATAGACATATAGATCAATGGAATAGAAAAGAAAATCCATAAATCAGCCCATCTACCTATGGTCAATTGATTTTTGACAAAGAGATTAAATCAGTTAAGTGGGGAAATGGCAACCTTTTTTTAAAATTATTTTAATGAGCTTTTAGAGAGATTTTGGATTTCCATTAATTCATTGCTGCACTTCTCTCCTGCCACCCCCCCCCCCCCCCCGGTTCGCTCCTCTCTTTCAAAAGTAAAAGAAACACTCCTTCCCTGGTACACAATACCCCCGCACCCCTCCCACCATCCCAAGTACATTCATTCCACTATGAAACCTTAATTGTGGACTCTTGTGATAACCATAAGACCCTATCATAGATCGCTTTTAAATTATTCACTCCCTCATCTGTTTCAGTGCAGTATACACCATTGATCCAGTTTTTCTCAGTCTTACCCCAACCCTGATATCAGTCCCATTTTACAACAGTGGCACCATGCAATATTAATGACAACTTTTTTAACAAATGGTGCTAGCAAAATTGGAAAACTACCTGTAGAAAACTCAAGCAGGATCCACACCTCACTACATATACAAAAACCAACTCAAAATGGATCATGGACCTAGGACTAAAACCAAGGACTGTGCATTTCATTAAAGAAAAGCTTGGAAGAACTCTAGAAGTCCTAATCCGCAACATAAACAGTCTTCCAAGCATCCTGAAAAATCTACAGCCAAGAGAGGATAAAATAGATGTATGGGACCTTCTAAGAATCAAATCCCTATGCACATCTAAAAATCTCTCCAACAGAGTAAAAAGGGAAGCCACAAATTGGGAAAAAATATTTGGTAATGACATGTCAGATAAGGGACTTATATCTTGAATTTATAAAATACTCGAGCACTACAACAAGATAAAGGTAAATAACCCAATTGAAAAATGGGCACAGGATATGAACAGACACTTCACTAAAGAAGACATTCAGATGGCCAACAAATACATGAAGAAATGTTCAAAATCCCTGACTCTAAGAGAGATGCAAATCAAAACAACTATGAGATAGTATCTCACCCCAGTAAAAATAGCAGACTTTAACCGAGCAGCAAAAAAGAAATGCTGGCGAGGTTGTGGAGAAACTGGAACCCTTATTCACTGTTGGTGAGAGTGTAAAATGGTACAACCACTATGGGTGGCTCTTTGATGCTTTCTCAAAAAGTTACAAATAGAAATACTATTTTACCCAGCAATTCCACTACTGGGAATTTACCCTAAAGAAAGCATAACTTCCACCCAGGCAGATATATGCACACCCATGTTTATTTCGGCTTTGTTCACAATAGCAAAGAGTTGGAAACAACCTAAGTGCCCTTCAACAAATGAATAGATAGAGAAGCTCTGGTTTATTTACACAATGGAATACTATGCTGCATTGGAAAGCAAGGAACTCATGCAATATTATTCAAAGTAGGTGACCCTGCAGGACATTATACTGAGTGAAATATCTCTGTCACAAAAAGACAAATACTACATGGTTCCACTGCTGTAGAACGGGACTGACATCAGGGTTGGGGTGAGATTGAGAAAAATTGGATAAATTATGTATACTGCATTGAAAAAGATGAGTGAGAGAACAGTTTAAAAGCAATATATGATTGAGTATTATGGACATAATAACAGTCCATAATAAAGGTTGCATAGTGGAGTGTACTTGGGGTGGGGGTGGGGGGATTGTATACTAATGAGAGAATTTTTCTTTTACTTTTCAAAGAGAGGACCGAACAAGAGGGGAGGGGTGGACAGAGAGAAAAGTGCAACAATGAATGAATGGAAATCCAAAATCTCTTTAAACGTTCATAAAAATTAATAAAACAATTAATTATTTTAAAAAATGGGCCTTGTCAAGGAGACAAGAGCACAGCTGCTAGGTGACCATAAATAGGACTCTGAAAAGTCCAGGGTGGGTGAGATGCAGGAATAAAGGATAAAAGCAGTCACTCATTCATTGCCTTCTACTCATAGCTGACCTGCCATTTCTGACACTAAATTGCATGAGAAGAGATTGCCCATATTTTCTCCCACGTAGCTGCTGGTTGATTCAAACCAACAGAGGCATTAGCAGCACAACTTCAAGGACTACCTAGGGGCTATGTCACCAGCTCCCTAAGGTTAAGGTAGAAGAAGGTGAGATAGAGCTCATTCAGCTCTGCGGGTGGACATGAAATAAGTGATGCTTTTGGGGAAAGACTAATGCCATTCCTTGAGGTAAGCATAAGAACATTATTTTCCTTATTCAATGTTTTTGAAAAAATTAAAATATAAAGTAAGAACTTTCAACATTCTATTTTACATGAGAAATTCAGACATTTAGGGTAGAAAAAGAAATTATCCTTTGAAGAAAATCCTATCAGTCTTTTTATGTCAGGATTTTATTTAAAAAGAAAAACTTGAAAAAAGGTTTCCTCCAAAACTGGACTCAGTGTTTTAATTTTGTTTGAAGGAAGAAACCTAAACAGAGTTGAGCACCCAGTATGTCCTAACTTTAGAAGTCAAACCAGGCTGCAGTGAAGAGTTGGGGTCAGCTGCTCAGCTGGGAAATTGTTTCTCTGGGAGAAACAGGGCCACTTCTGTGTAGTTCTACACACTTTCTTCTGAGTCAAGAGAATGTTTGAACTTCCATTCTCTCCAAATACATTTATCCCTCACCTAAGAAAGAAAGCCCAAAGAAGGGAAATTGAGCTTAAACTCCAGCAATGCCAAAGCTTCAGCCATGCACTAAGACCAGGGTAATGGTGCCTCCATTGTACTGACAGCTGGGGAGGGGAGAAAATGAGAGGCAAGAAAGGGAATACACATCCTTGCCTGCTTCTCTTCCTTCTTTCAGATTTGTGCAGACTTTGACTGTGTATTAGTGTATTTTATGAGATTTAGCTAGGACGAAAGAGCCAACAGACCATTCTGGGCTTTTTTCTTCATGAACATTGTTGCTGTGGTCCCATAATATGTCCAGCCTTGGTGAGTTGGTGATAGAATCTCTGTAAGTGCATGTGTACCAACTCTGTTGCTGGCTGGGGAAGCTTCCAATGCAGCTTTGTTTCTGATACTGTTTATAAAGCCTGAAGCTACTTCTGTTTTACTTTAGCCAAAAAGATGGAGTCCTGCCAACAGTATGTCTGGAATGTTATTTACTTGGTGAATTTCTGTGGCTTTTCCTTGTAGTGTTGCACATGTCAGACCAAGAAGTTGTTTACTCGAAAAGGCCAAGTTGCACCATTCTCCATTCTGTAGGGGCAACTTTCTCTGGAAGGGGAACCCAACATCTGTACTTTTCAGTTTCTCTCTAATTCCTTGTTTTGTTTCCCTTTTTAACCTTTGCCTAGTGCTCTAAAATAGTGTTGGCAGTGTACCCCAGTGGTACAATAGTTAAGCTATCTGTTGGCTAACCCAGAGGCCAGTGGTTTGAGTGAGCAAGTGACGACTCTACAGTAGAAAGCCACCTGGTGGTTTGCTTCCATAGATGACAGCCTGGGGACACCCCATAGGGCAGTTCAATTCAGTCATCTAGGGTTGATATGAATCAGACCTACTAGACAGCACACAACAACATTGGCAGTTTCTGTATACACTGTGCTGTTGTACAGACTGACCTGAATACCCTCCTCCCCAAAATACCAAGCCAGTTGTTGAGCAAATTAAAGGCAAACATCCTCATGTGACAATAGAACTGTCCTCCACAAGATTGTTACTGGCTGGGGTTTTGGAGGGTCTTTCTTCTGAGGAAACACTATATGGTCTTAAACTTTAGATGTTCTCATTAGCCACCATGTGTGTTAGCCTTTTGCACCATTTTTGCACTCCTTAAATGTTCCAATTCCACTTCTACTTTCTGTTATTTCTGACAGACCCTCCCAAAGACCCATGTTACTTTTGCATTTTGAGGCCTGCACTGTTATATTTTTACATGAAAGCTGAAGGTAGTCAGCTCAGTACATGCCCACTTTTCCGTTCTCTCAATTTAACAGATGAAGTTTTGGAAATACAAGCAGGATTTTCTTTGATGGTAGTTTTAGGAATCAGAAGGGAAATCTGCAAGCAGCCTTGGCTTACTTACTTACTATCTCCAGAGTAATATATCATATGGTCATCTGACTCAAAATGCCCCATGCCAGTCCATCTCATTTCTCCAATGCCTAATATGTCAATGTTTATGCATTCCATTTTTTTCTTAACAATTTCTAATTTTCCTGCATTCATGGCTCTCACATTCCATGTTCCATTCACTAGGGTCTGCTTACAACTGTTCCTCCTCCTTTGTATTTCCATACTTGATAGTTCTACCTAGGTTGCCCTTTCTGTTATTCTGCGTGTGTTCTGTTGTGCATAGGGTTTTCAGAGGCCTGCTATTTCAGAAGTGGGTGGCCAGTCCTTCTTCCTAGTCTGTCTTAATCTGAATGTTCAGATTTAGAGGAGTATCTGACAGACAAGCAATTTGTGGAGCAGTGAAAGAGAAAGCCATTCTTCTTAGTGTCCCCAATCTTTTCATATGGCTGCTAGTTTTGTTTTTAGCGGCTCCAGATTTTGGCTTCATGAAACACTCCCTTGACAACCTGGTCTTGCTCTCTCACCTGCCCTTCCTTTAGAGTATAATTTTTACAATAAATGCTTCCATGAGCCTTGTAATTTTTTTCAGAGTAAAACTAAGCAGGTTACTTATTACAGTTAATAGCTGTTTGATGATGGAGACAACTACTTGGCAGAAACAGTAACTTGACTCTCTGCCAGACACCTAAACTGCAGTTTTACCTCTGAAAGCACCTAAGCTGTAAGCCTATCGGTCAAGACCTAACATGCACATGATAATAAGACTTGCCTGTCTAAAAAAAGCCACCCACTGGAGAAGCCCCACAGACAAGCTCTAACAAGATTCTGTGTGTTTTGTCCTCTGTTGTCCACAGTCCACACCTCTTCTTCCTCTCGCAGAGCACCTTGACTGGAGGCAGCCACCTGTGTGGGACACGCCTCTGCCATGAAATTGCTCACTCCTGGTTTGGTCTTGCCATTGGGGCCCTGGACTGGACAGAGGAGTGGTTGAGTGAAGGATTTGCCACTCACTTGGAAGATGTATTTTGGACTGAAGCACAGCAGGTAAGTACAAGGTGACTCAAAGCATTTCGTTGTCTGGTATCAAGTTTTCTTCATTTATCCATTCAACAAATATGTATTAAGGGACCTCTGGTGGCCTAGTGGCAAGAAGCTGCACTGCAATCCCAGAGATGTGCGGTTCAAATCCACCAAATGCTTTGCTGGAGTAGGAGGGGCTGTACCAGTCAGATCCGATTTGACTGTATACACACACACACACACACACACACACACACACACACACAATAATAAAATAAAAACAAAAACCCACAAATATGTGTTGAACTAGGAGTCCTGGGGTTGTGCCGTTAATTCACTGGGCCGTTAATTGAAAGTTGGGAGGTTTGAGTTCTCCCAGGGGCACCTGCTTCCGTTGGTTGCTGGGCACTATCCTACTGATCATGGATAGAGCAACAAAAACAAGGAGGGCATCTCTGGTCCCTGTAAGGATCACAGCCTAGAGACAGGAGAGAGTAGACAATTAGATAATCTAGTATATGTCTGGCAGTAATGAGGAGGATTATGAAGAAAATATGAAGCCTGCAGTGAGTGATGGAAGAGAGTGGTATTTGAGTGATGTTTAGAGAAGGCCTTTAGATGAGTGAACATTTGAACAGAGACTTCAATCAAAAGTTAGCCTACAGTACATGCAGCCCTCCTTTATGGTTCCATTTAGAGTAATGTTGACTGTGATTTTATTTTTAAATAATGAGATTATATTTAAATCAGAAGTTTTAATCTTCTATGTCTTCTGGAAACCCTAAGTCTGTAAACTTTCATTAAAATAGAAAAATAAATTTGTCTGTATTGGGATTGCTTTGAACATATAGATTGCTTTTGGTAGGATTGTCATTTTCACAATATTGACTCTTCCTATCCATGAACAGGGAACACTTTCCCATTTCTTAAGGTCTTTTATTGTGTCTAGCAGAACTGTTCTGTAGTTTTCTTTGCATAGGTCTTTTGTATCTCTGGTTAGGTTCACTCCCAAGTATCTCAATTTGTGGTTGGCTATTGTAAATGGTATTGCTTTCTTGGTTTCCTTCCCTGAGTTCTCTTTGTTACATTGTGGAATGCCACTGATTTTTGGATATTGATCTTCCTGCCACTCTGCTAAATTGGCCTACTAACTCTAACAGTTTTTTGTTAAGTCTCTGGGATTTCCTCTGTACCGTATCATATCGCCTGCATATAATGATAGTTTAACCATCATTTTGCTGCTCTGAAGTCCATTATTTCCTTCTCTTATCATATTATCTTAGCAAGTACTTCCAATACCATATTGAATAGAAGTGGTGACAGTGGGCATCTTTGGTTCCTATTCGTAAGGAAAATGCTTTTAGAGTCTTTCTCCTTTGAGAATGATGTTGGGTTTTGGTTTTGCATATGTACTTTTCACTATGTTAAAGAAATTGCCTTCTCTTCCAATTTTGCTGAGTTGTCTTTATCAGGAAGGGGTTGTATTCCAGAGATTTTTGTATATGTTTTATTTTCATTAACACTATTTTCAGGAACTTTTTAAATTTCATTTTTTTATTTCTTCTGTAACCAAATATTGTTCTAGAGGGGATTATGTAGATTCCAAATGAGTGGTTTTATGAGCTTTACTCTCTTGTTAATTTTTAGTTTTGTGGCATTGTTGTCTGAAAAGATACTTTGTATTATTTTTATATTTTTAAATTGTTATGGCTTGTTTTTGTGCCCCAATATTTGATCCATTCTGGAGAATGTGTCATATGCATTTTATAAAGAAAGTAAATTGACTCTTAGTTGGGTGCAGTACTCTGAATCCAACTACAACATCAAGTTGGCTGATTATATCATTTAGATCTTCTGCATCTTTGTTAAATTCTTTTTAGTTGATGTATCTTCTGGTCAGGATGGTGTTTTCAAGTCTCCTACCACTACTGTAATGTTGTCTATTTCTTTATTTAGATCTGTTATCTATTGTTTTATGTATTTTTCATTTCTGTCTTTTGGTGCACAGATGTCCAAGGTTATGTCTTCTTCATTTACTATGCCTTTAAGCATTATATCGTGCCCTTCCTACCCTTTATGGTGGTGTAAAAAGAGCAGAAAAAGAGACATGGGGCACAGAGCCATGAGCGTCTCTCTGAAAGGGCCAGAGGGTGTGAGAATAGCATAGCCCTTCACTGCCACAGAGCAGAAAGCAGATAAAAAGCCCACAGCCCAACCCTATATTGCCTCTAGAGCCACACCAGCAGTAAGAGTTCATGTATTTATTGTTGACTCACAGACTTTATTCACAATTATAATACCAAAAGTGAGATTTATTAGGGAAATAGTTTGGGAAGTGGGAGAGGCAAAGAATATATCACCATATCAGTCCAGCAGTTTCAAACAAGATTAACAGAAAAACACAATTCCTTAATTAGTAAAAGTCCTGGTTTCAGTTCAGCAGTCAAATCCAGATCATCTAGCGAAATTTGCCTCAGAGCATTTATAATTCAGCTTTTCCTTCAATCATCTGGCAAGAACAGCAAAACCTTTAACTGTGGACTTTATCTCAGCTCCTCTGGTTACACCGTGCCACGGTCTCTGCTCCATACATGGTCTCACTCTCACCAGAGTCTTGCTCCAATCTCCCTCAAGTCTTGCTGCTCAGAGCGGGAAAGCACTCTGTCTCTTAATCCTTTTTTGTCCTCTTTTTTATCCTCTCTTGTCCCACAGGCATTGATAATTTGCAAGAATACGAATTTGCAAACAAGGTAGTTGAACCCAGAGGGAGCTAAGGTAATGGCTAAAATAGGACAAATACTACAGATTGTACTCATCCCAGTTTATTAGTGATTTGTATTGTCACTTCTGCTCCTTTTTGGGTGTTTTTTGTTTGACAAATTTTATCCAGCCTCTGTTTTTTAATCTCTCTTTTTCCATGTTTCTAAAATGTGTCTCTTGTAGACAACATATTGATGGGCTTTGGTTTTTTAATTCATTCTGCTACTTTCCCCCCCTCTTGATTGGTACATTTAATCCATTCACACACTAAGTGTGATTATTGACAGGCCAGGATCTACCACTGCCATTTTGCTGTTTATTCTGCTATTGTTTCTGGGTATTATGGTTCATCCACTTTTCTCTCTGTGATGGATGGACTTCCCTTGGAATTTCTAGTTGAGTTTGTTTTGTTTTCACAAATTACTTAAGGCCCTGCTTTTCTGCAAATGACCTAATTTCTCCTTTGTATTTTCAGATCGGCTTTGCTGGGTACAGGATCCTTGACTGGCAGTTATTTCAGCCTTCTTTATATGCCATCCCATTGTCTTTTTGGCTTTCATGAAAAATCAGAACTTATTCCAATTTGTTCTCCTTTATAAGTGTCAATTTGCTTTCCTCAAGCTACTTTCAGTATTCTATCCTTATCTTTTGAGAATTTGGCTATGATATGCCTTGATGTTTTTCTTTTGAGTCTGTTTGGGGTTCACTGAGTTTCTTGAATGTGGATTTCACTGTTCTATATAATACCGACCGGAACAACACATCAGCAGACAACTGCCGGAAGTCCAGGCTGGGTTTAGAAGGGGTCACAGTACTAGGGATATTGTAGCTAATGTTAGATGGATCTTAGTTGAAAGCAGGGAATACCAGAGGAATGTATAGCTGTATTTCATTGACTATGCAAAGGGGTTTGACTTGTGGATCATAACAAACTGTGGCTGACTCAGAGAAGAATGGGAATCCCAGAACACTTGATAGTGCTAATGCAAAACCTATACTTCGACCAAGAGACAGTCGTCAGAACAGAGCAAGGAAACACTGCATGGTTCAAAATTGGGAAGGGTGTACGCTAGGGATGTGTTCTGTCGCCATACCTTTTCAACCTCTATGCAGAACAGATTATCTGGGAGGCTAGGCTCTATGAGGAGAAATGTGGGGTCAAGATTGGTGGAAGATCAATCAACAATCTGTGATATGCAGATGACACAACCCTGCTTGCTGAAACTGAGGAGGACCTGACGCATTTGCTGCAGAGGGTTAAGGACTGCAGCCTCCAATATGAGTTGAGACTCAATATCAAGAAGACAAAGATTCTCACCACTGGGCCAGTTAGCAGTATCAGGATGGATGGTGAAGAGATTGAGATTGCTCACAGCTTCAGTTTGCTTGGTTCCACAGTCAACATTCTCAGCATCAGCAGCCAGGAAATTAGAAGACATATTGCCATGTGGAAGTCTGCTGTTAGGGACCTCTCCAAAGTACTGAAGAGCAATGGTGTCTCTTTGGAGACTAAGGTGCGTCTGATACAGGCCATGGTCTTTGCTATCACTTGTTATGCCTCAGAGAGTTGGACAATGACTAAGGAGGATAGAAGGAGAATTGATGCCTTTGAGATGTACCTTTCTGACTCTCTGTTCCATCTCTTCCATTCTGTTCTTTTGTTCCTTCCCTGTGTTGAATATGTCTGCCATTTCAGTCTTGATAATCTGGATTAAATTTTTATGTTTTCCTATCATTTCCAGTACTGTGTTGGCTATGTTCTCTCTGTCTTGTGATTTTTTTCAGTTCTTGTACCTCTTTATCTATAGCTTCAATTATTTATTACATCTTTTGCAAGTTTTTTCATCATTGTTCATTTTCCTCTGCATCAGTATATTTCTTTTGACTCATTGGCTCCAGAGTATTTGCTTTAGTGTGTGGTTTCCATTCTTTCTTCTATCATTTGCGCCTTCTTCTGTAGCTGTTCATATAACTTCACATCAGTATTTTTCTTCTTTTTCCTTGTCGATGGAGTATTGATTTTATTTATTATTTTCATTCTTTCTTCCATCATTTGCACCTTCTTCTCTACCTGTTCATATGATTCCAAGTCAATGTATTTCTTCTGTCTCCCTGTCTCTGGGTTACTCTTTGGGTCTGCAATATGCTCTGCCTCTTTAGGGGAAGGCTTTTTTTGTTTTCTCACAATGTTTTAAGCTGCTTGGTGCTTTCTTAATATTATGTGATTTTTTTTCTTGATATGTGTTATGCTGGGGGTTGTGTGTGTGTGTGTGTGTGTGTGTGTGTGTGTGTGTAGGTTGCTGACAGTTCTTTGCCTTTATGATGGTGGTGATTATTTGCAGGCTTTAAGTATCCTACCTATGGAGTGGGAAACTTGCTCTCCTGGGAGTCCTTCCTGGGCTTGTGGAGCTGGATGTGAATTCATTCAGTAAAAGTTTAATGTCTTACTATACTTTCTGTGGGATAATACCTTTCTGAGCTTTAAGTGTGTTCTTCTAAAGTGGCCTTAAACCACCATCCTTTCTATTAACAGCATGTTAGCCATTGTATGACTGAGGAACTCCAGAAGAATTCTTACCCTAAAGAAGTAGATTGTCACATCTTTCTCTATGAAGCAGCTGTTGAATTAGGCCCTGATTTTGGGGTTTACAGCTGAGTTTCAACCACTGTGCCCCTAGGGTTTCTTTGCCCATAAATGGCATACTGTAATGTCCATTTGCTGTACAGAGATAACTCGTGGTTGCTGTGATGCTAAATGCTATGACACTGATGTGTCAAATGCAATAATGGTTACCCATGGTGAAAAGTGTTTGGTGGAGTTTCCCGATTAAAACAAGCTTGAAAGCAGGAGTGACATCCACTTCTGAAGTAGCTTGACTCCAGAAACCCTATGAACTTGGAGAAACGATGAAATTTATACAAGTATCCAGTTCTTTCATTCATAGGGTCGCTATGAGTCGTCTACAATTTCATGGCACTTAATAACAACAACAATATAGAGATTAAAGTCATTTAGTCTACTTTCTATATTGCATTGTCAGCCAGTGACCCCTTGGACATAGGGTCTCAGCAGCCTGTTCCTCCCTAAAATTAGTCTAGGCAGTAAAGTCTTTCTGTTTATATGCCACAGAATTATCTGTGTTTCATTAACAAGTCTCACTGTAAATAATTCTTAATAAAACTAAGAGTGACCATCCGCACCCAGTACAGAAAGACAAAACCTGAAAAGAGTCCCTGGAAAGGTCAGCTCCCAGGTCAGGCATGTACAGCAGGGGGTAGGGTCATGGCCTCTTCCAGACTGGCTGGCTTGCTACTGTCCACTGACCTCAGAGTAAGAAGCAAAGACTTCTGGGACCCTGACTTTCCTGGCAGGGAAATTAAAAAACAAAGCTGGCCATTGCATAGGACAACTCTTGCCCAGCCATGGAAGGCAATGATTAAGGTGTTTTGGGTCTCTGTGTCTGTGTGTCTGTCTGTGGCCCAGCAGCTATCCCCTCTGGAAGCCCAGGAGCAGTGTGAGTTGAGGGCCTGTCTGCGCTGGCTCCGCCTCCAGGACGAAGTACACAATTCAGCAGAAGAGGTACAAGTGCTCAGGTAAGCACCATCTGGATTTCTTTCCGCTTCCTTCCAAGGCCCATTCAAGCCATTGGACAAGCTGTTTTCTTTGTAAGTTAGATTGGATGTTAATCTCCTCCCACTGATAGGATTGTTTTGTTTTTACTTTTCTGTGGTGTGAGTTTGAATTTGCCTTCTGATAATTTCTTGTGTCTCCGTTAAGGAAAAGAAATAGCATAAGGCCACTTCCTGGACCCAGTGCATGGTTTGAAGTGCCAGTGCTCATGTTACGTGATGGCTGTGGTGGATGTGGAAAAGTCTGAGCTTCATTGCCTTACAGACCCTTTAAGTTAGGAGAAGCTCTTTGAGAAAGCCTCCCAGTTAGATCCCAGCAGGAATCAATTTCTCTGCTTGCTGTTCTGTAGGAGGATTCTGATTCCTAGCTTCTGCTAATTTGTTGTTGTTTAAAGACTTGCTTTTTTGCCACTCTGTACTCCTGTCATTGTGTGCATGAGTCGGTTGTTGCCCTGCTGTCCACAGGCCCTCACCTTGTGAAGACATTGTGCACATGGGACAACTCCATCCAGCCTTACAGCCACAACTGCACATCAGACTGCTGTGAGCTTAGGGTTTTCATTGGCTGTTTTTTGGGGTTTTTTTTTTAACTGGAAACTGATGAAACCTGTTCGGCACCATAGCAACAGCTGCACAAAGCTCATATACTATCTGGAATTCGAACCCAGGACTCTTGCATGAAAGGCAGGACTGATGTATCCTTCATGCCACTGAAGAGTTATTTATATGAAACTATGTGCCTATCTGCCAGGAATACTAAGGTTATTATGAAAACAAAAGCTGGGTCTCCTGCTTTGCCTTGACCAGAGTCAAGCATCCACCACAGCAGACATCTGGGAAGGGTGGTCCATCCAGGCATTTCCTGTTCTACTCACCTCTTTTTAGACAACAACTCTGAAGTCCAAGTTACCTTCTAGTCAGAAGCCTGCCTTGGATTGTTTTGTTGTTTTTAAGAGGTATACTCATTCCCTGTGATGACTGGAAAAGATCTCCAAGAAAAAGCCTAGTGGAAACCCACCTATCCTGGCTTGACCTCAGGGAGGCTATCTGTGAGCCCTCTGCAGGATATGAGTATAAGACTTCCGTTCTTCTCATGGAAAGGTTACAAGTTTGCCCACAAACCCAGCCTTGCAGGCTGACTCATTGTTGAAGAGAGCTGAGGTTGGGCAGTGGAAGCTGCAGGCACAGAGCCAGGAACCCTGCATTCCCAGCCCAGCCACACTGCTGGCGCTCTTATTCCCTCAGCAGGTGTTTCCTGGGCTCCAGCTTGGGGCCAGACCAGACAGCTGCACGAAGAACTGACCAGTCCAAGGTCACTGTTCTTAAGGAGCATCTTCTACTTAGGGCACAGGTGTATAACCTGCTATTAACAGAGAGAGAGAACTGTGAGGAATATACAGTGTCTGTGAGGCTGGGAGTACCACTCTGAGTTAGTGAAGTGCTGAGTAATACCCTGGCCAATGAAGAAGCGCACCACCCTGATATAGGAGAGAAAAACAATGGGACTAGAAGGTGGGAGGAAGGAGGGGAGAGGCAGCCGGGGGCCAAGCCATATCAGCCTTCCTCTCAGAGCGACCAGTGGAACACTCACAGCACCTTTAGCAGGAGCTCAGTAATCTCCTGTTTTCACAGCGCTGCTCCAGCTGCTGTGGAAGAGGGAGTATAGACAACAGAGGGAGTAGAAAGAAGAGCACCAAAGTCCCTGCAAGTGAGCTTGGTGTGGCAGCAACAATACCATGAAGTAGACCAATTTGAGACACATTTTGGTGGTAAAATTAGCAAGTCTATGAATGTGAAGAAGAGGGAAATGAGAGCATCCAGAGTGACTTCTAGGGTTTTTACTTGAACAATGAGGAATATGGTAAGGCTCTTTATAGAGACAGTAAAGATTGTTGGCCAAGCAGACTTTGGAAGGGAAAATAGATTTTAGTTTTATATGATTTACGATACCAAATTTCATGTGGAATAGAAAGAGATGTTGCCTAATCAGCACCATCATTTCAGTGGATGGTATGCTATCTATTGTTGTGACCAGTGCATTTTGAATGTCTTCTAAACTATGGGCATATCTTCCAGCACTGCATCAAAACATATTTTGTTGTGATCCATAGGGCTTTAATTGGTAACTTTTCAGTAAATTAGTCCTTTGTTCCTGGTCTTTGTTAGTCTTGATGCTCCATTGAAATCTGCCTACCATTGATGACCCTGCTGGGATTTGAAATAACAGTGGCATTGTGTCCAGCACTACAGAAGCATACAAACTATGACAAAGTGACAGATAAGTGATAGTAAGATGCTGTCATAGGTATTCAGCCTATGTTGTTGTTCTTAAGCGCCATCAAATTAATTATAACCTTCCCCTATCCTGTGCCATCCTCATCATCTCTGATATACTTGAGCCTTTTGATATAGTCATTGTGTCAATCCATCTTGTTGAGAGTCTTCCTCTGCTTTGATGACCCTTCTCCTTTACAGCATAATGCCTTTCTCCAAGTATTGGTTCCTCCTGACAACATGCCCAAAATATGTAAGACAAAGGAGTTTTCATCCTGGCTTCTAAGGAGCATCCTGGTTGCACTTTCTCCAAGAGAAAGTTCCTTTGGCTATCATCTTCTATCATCCTTATTCATCCAATTTTTCAGATGTATAAAAAGTAATTTAAAAGATCATGACATGGACAGGTACATCTTTGTCTTTAAACTGACATCAGTGCTCTTTAGCATTTTGGCAAGGTCCTTGACAGCAGACTTTTCTAATGTAACACATTTTTTTATTTCTGTCTACTGGTACCGAAAGTGTTGATTGTGGATCCAGAAATAATTAAATAGTTCCCAATTCCAATATTTTCTCTGTCTATCATGCAAAAAATAAAGCCCCAGGAATAGATGGTATACCAATTGAAGTATTTCAGATAACAGACGTTGCCCTGGATGTGCTCACCAAGTTGTGCCAAGAAATCTGGAGAACAACCACTTGGCCAACTGACTGGAAGAGATCCATATTTGTTCCCATTCCAAAGAAAGGTGACCCAACTGAGTGTGGAAACTACAGAACAGTGTCATTGATTTCACATGCAAGCAAGATTCTGCTGAAGATCATCCAAAAACTATTAGAACAGCACATCAGCAGAGAACTGCCGGAAGTCCAGGCTGGGTTTAGAAGGGGTCGTGGTACTAGGGATATCGTTGCTGATGTTAGATGGATCTTGGCTGAAAGCAGGGAATACCAGAAGAATGTCTATCTGTGTTTCATTGATTATGCAAAGGCATTTGACTGTGTGGATCATAACAAACTGTGGCTGACTCTGAGAAGAATGGGAATCCCAGAACATTTAATTGTGCTAATACGAAACCTATACTTGGACCAAGAGGCAGTAGTCAGAACAGAGCAGGGTAACACTGCATGGTTCAAAATAGGGAAGGGTGTACGCCAGGGATGCATCCTGTCTCCATACCTTTTCAACATGTATGCAGAGCAGATTATCCGAGAGGCTGGGCTCTATGAGGAGAATTGTGGCATCAGGATTGGTGGAAGATCTATCAACAATCTCCGTTATGCAGATGACACAACCTTGCTTGCTGAAACTGAGGAGGACCTCATGCACTTGCTGCGAAGGGTCAAGGACTGCAGCCTTCAGTATGGACTAAGGCTCAACGTCAAGAAGACAAAGATTCTCACCACTGGACCAATTGGCAGCGTCAAGATGGATGATGAAGAGATTGAGAGTGTTCACAGCTTCACTTTGCTCGGCTCCACAGTTAACACTCTTGGTACCAGCAGTCAGGAAATCAAAAAGCATATCGCGATGGGAAAGTCTGCCATTAGGGACCTCTCAAACGTACTCAGGAGCAACAGTGTCTCTCTGGAGACTAAGGTGCGCCTGATACAGGTCATGGTATTTGCAATCGCTTGTTATGCATCAGAGAGTTGGACAATGACTAGGGAGGACAGAAGGAGAGTTAATGCTTTTGAGCTGTGGTGCTGGAGAAGGGTACTGAATGTACCCTGGACTGCCAGGAAAACAAACAGATCCATCTTGGAGAGGATTAAACCAAGCTACTCCTTGGAGGCAAGGATTCTGGGGCTTCGTCTGACATACTTTGGACATGTTGCCAGGAGGGACGGGTCCTTGGAGAGGGACATCATGCTTGGGAGGGTGGAGGGACAGTGCAGGAGGGGAAGACCCTCTATGAGATGGATTGATTCGGTGACTGGGGTAATCGGGATGGGTGTGTCAGAGACAGTGCGGTTGGCGCAGGAGAGAGCAGGGTTTAGAGCTGTTGTGCATAGGGTCGCTATGAGTCGGAAACGACTTGATGGCACATAACAACAACATCATGATGTTGCCTGTTGTCCAGTGGTGAGGATTTTTGTTTTGTTTTGTTTTTTTAACAGAGAAAGAAAAGTTTACTTATATATTCTCAGATGCACACAACAGTCAAACTCTAAGAAACTATCACAGAGTTCTAGTATAGGATCAAAGTGTGTTGTTGTTATGTATGGTAGAGTTTGAACCAACTTAGAGCTGATACTCCAGAGCATTTTCATAAACTATAAATCACAAGAGAAGAGACTGCCCATCTTTGTCCCAAAGTAGATTTGAACCTCATATATTTGGATTGGTAGCACAACTCCTTACCATTAGGCCAACAGAACTCCCTGTGTCAAAGAGTTGTGGCTGTTATGTGCACAACCAACTCGTATATAACCCTCCAGCAGATTCTCAGAGGTTATATGTCACAAGGGAGGAAATTGCCCATCTATCTCCTGCAAGGCAGCTAGTGGATTCAAACCAAGTGCTCTTGGATAGCCCCTTACCAGGAGGCCAAAAGAGCTTCCTGTTCCAAAGAGCAGTACCTGAAAAATCTATTAATAATTTTTTTCCATATTTTGTTTTCTTGATGCTTGAAATGTAAACCATATTGAAGACTGTAGTCCTTGATCTTCTGTAGCAGGTGTTATTT